TTTGTTCTTCTGTTGGGTTTCTGGAATCCTATTATATGCTTATGTGTAGATTTTTAAAAATCAAGGCTGGTTGGAGTCCTATATGCCTCACTTATCTGTATGTCAAGTTCTTTTCCCCTGCTTGGGAAGTTTTCTGCCATAACTTCTGTAAACAGTTTTTTTTATGTCATCTGCACTCTCTCCTGTTGCTTCATTGACTCCGATCAGTCTTATGTCATTCTTCTTTGCATTGTTTAGCAGCTGCTGGATTGTTTTCTCATGGTACCTTATAATTTTAAAGCAATTTTTCTTTTCCTGGTGACTAATAGGAATCTTATCTTCTATATCTGAAATTCTGTCCTCACATTGGTTCATTCTGCTGCGTAGACTTTCAATGGAGTTTTTAATCTCCTGGAAATCTTTTTGTATCTGTTTTATGGATTCCATTTTTGTCTTATGTTGGGATTCCATCATGTTCCTCAACTCCTCTATTTCTTTTAATCTGTGTCCTCTCTAGATTTATTAATCTTGTCTTGCACCATGAGCACAATTTCTGCTGTTATCTGAGAAATTATTTCCGATTTCATTTTTTCTAGATCCTCTCTTGTTGCCAGTTCAGGGAGTCCAGGTGGTCGAGTGTCAGATTGTTCCATCTGTTTTCCCTTTGGGGTTGCTATAGGTGATCTGGAAGTCTGTTTTTGAGGCTTGTTTATGTGTCTTCTCATTTCCACAGCTGGGGGGAGGATGTGCTACTGGTGCCCACGCGGCTCACCTCTTCTGTGCTGGGAGTGATGGAACGGCTGCCTGGAAGCCCCTTTCTCTGGGCTGGGAGTGGTAGAATGGCAGCCAGGGAGTCTCCTCCTGGGCGCTGGGATTGGCTCACCTCCTCTGCCTTGGGAGCAGTGGAATGGCAGCCTAGAGTACATTTTTTAAAATCTTTTTTTTAATGCATTTGCCAACATATAATACATACATTACTAACAGAAATGGATCTGTTTTATAAATACACTTATGCAGGGTTTTTTTTGCTGGTAACCTCTAAATTGTCATTTTCTGTGGGTCTCTTTCTCTTATCATCTTGGCTACCAAAACATCTCATCCTCCCAGCTGTCTTTTGTGGGTTTTTTTTTTTGGTTGTTCCCTAAATGTACTCTTCCCTCAGTATCAGCCCCTATAATTTTCAGATATTTTGTGTTTTATTTGTAACCAGGCAGTCTAGTATCATGCACATTTACCATTTTCTGTCTGCTTTTTCTGGAAATACTTTTGTCATTTCCCTCAGTCATCCTGGGTCTTGGCTTTTAAACCTCCTTCCTTGACTTATCTCTCTCTCTCAGTCCTTACATCTGAGCTCTTGTTAGCATGTTATTAGGTTAGGACACTTTTGGCCAGTCATTAGTCTTCCTCTTCCTTCTCACCCTGCATCTTGTGCTGAGAATTTTCATAATTGCCCACATCCTGTTCATTTTCCCTGGCCAAGCATTTAAGATGTTGCATTCTGCTTCTAATTTTTTTCCCTCTTATGCTGTTTTCCCCTCCCCCATGCCTCCCAGAACCCCTCTGATCAAGCTGAGTGGCTCATTTGCCCAGTCCTCTGTGCGTGTCAGGCACGCCTCTTTCCTGGCTGTTCCCCCACCATCCTAAAGTTTCCCTGGACTCTGCCTGGGAGACTTGCTGATGAGTCTGGACTGGTGCTTCAGTATTTCGGATACTGACACAGCACATGCCCTTCATTCTCAGAGCAGAGCTTTGGGGATGAACCTCCACCATGTGCTCTTATCCGGTCCTCACACTGCTTTGAAGCGTTCCATCAGCTCTCGTGAGGGAGTCCCGTTTCCAAGGGCACAGAAGGGAGTTTGAGAGGGTGGATACTGTGGAAGGTCAGGAACTAGTCTGGTCCTGTCCCACCTCTATTGCATGTCTTTGACCTTTGGACATGTGCCCGCCTGTGGACCTCATCCACATCTGAATTGTTCTTCATATACCACATGGCTCCCTAAGCCCCTTCTAGTTCTACAGAAAGTGTGAGCCCCTTAAAGAAGCCCCAGATGTGAAGTCAGGAGTGAAATAACTTGAGTTGTCAGTGGGACAACTCCTTTCCATCGGGGGAAGCAAGACTCATTTGTCAACTTTCAGAAAGCTGCCTGCTGGAGCAATCTTGATAGGAAAAGGGGTAGTCATCAGATGGTTACTGGGAGTGCTCATGAGTAAGGGGCAGCCACCCTCTCCCTAGACCTTGTCTTCTTTAATGCTTTTTCTTTGACTGGCTAGCTCAGTTTCCCACATGGTCCGTATAAAGACTGAAGTTAAAAGAACTCCCTATTTTAGGTCAAGATGAATGTCTTCTGAGGACTTAGAAGAGAGCCCTCAACTTGAAAAGGTAAGCAAACTGTCAGTGTGAATAAAGGAAGGGGGCATTCCAAAGCCACCCAGAGTGACCAAAACTCATCAGCATAGCAGTCTATTGGTCTCTGCACTCGCCACGGCAAACTCAAGAGACTCACAGGGCCAGGTAGGTAACTTAAGTGTGTACTGCAAGCAGGGTGGTTTTTCCTTTTAAAGTACCACTTGGGCCAGATGCAACACCCCTAGGCTGTCAGTCCACAGCCCCTCTGTGGACTATACTTAATTTTGTCCTGCAAAGCTGTGATAACAATGACATGGGCTATATGAACTTTTATATGTATTGAGTATCTGTTAAGTGCCTGGGGGGCTGGGTAATATAGAAATAATATAAATTAAGATTAAATTAAGATAAATTAATATACTCTTGCCTTCAAAAAGCTCACTATAAGATGAATGATAAGTGCTGTCATTTATCCTGAAGCCATTTTTCTGGGGTTTTATATGTATTTGATCTCAACTACAACCTTGTGGTTCTTTTTTGCAGATGGGGAAGTCTATGGCTCAAGCAGTATGTGGTATGCCACAGATAAAGTAGCTTGTATGTGGGTTATCAGGCAAAATTATAACCTAGAGCTCTGAACTCTGTGGCCACGTGCTTCTCACACTACATTGTATGTGTACACACATACATGCTGTGAGTGGGAGGAATGAACAAAGAGCAGGGAAGGTGGAGGTGGCAGTGGTGCTTCTTATTGAAAGTCAAGGAAAAGCTCCTTGGAGGAAGTGTCATTTTAGCCAGACACTGAAGAATGGGTGGAAGTTCTCTGTGGCATAGGCCTGGACTGTGTATAGGAGATGGTGAGAGTAGAAGTGGAACACTTTGCTGTGTTGAGGATGGTGAAAAATAGATGGTTTACCTGGAATTGAAAGATAAGTCAGGGCTAGTGAAAAAGCCTTTGTGAAGGGCTTTAAAAGCCATGCTCAGGAGTTGAGGGTGGAAGGAGTTGCAATGGAGAGTGTCAGAGCAAAATAAAGTCATCACATTTGCTTTATAGGATGATGACTAGTGCCAGCACTGGGAAGTGGTTTGGAAGGGATGGCCAGACTCTGTTTTAGGGAGGTGATTATATTTGTCCCAGAGTAGAGCAGGGATTGGGAGAGGATGGGTTCTTCGTGGGAGATAGATCCCAATAAGAATGTACAGGAAAAAAGGAGGCACTAAAATGGTGCTGAGATTTCTAAATTTGGGGTCTGGGTAGATGGTGAGAGCATCAATTCCTTCATTTGCTGGACTTCATGAAGGCAGGGACTCAACTTTGTTTACTGTTGTATTCACAGTGCCTGGCACCCACAAATGTGTGGGGACTGTGAGTGAATTAATGAGCGCTCACAGGAGGATGTACATGGTCGTTATTTTGGTGGGGCTTAACTCCCAAAGTTAGGAGATGCAATCTAGAGCTCCGACCACCCCACTACCATTTTCAGTGATGGGACTGAACTCATGGCTTCACACATACTAGACATCTGCACTACCATTTAGCTACATCTCTGACCCTGCAGTCTAGATTTTTCTCCTCCCCTCCCCACTTCCTTCCTATCCCTCTCCCTACTCCCACTGCCCTGGCCTTCCCCTTTTCTTCTCCTAGTACTGGGGATTGAACCTACAGCCTTTGTACTGACCTAATCCTTAGCCCTTTTTAATTTTGGAGACAGTCTTGCTAAATTGCCCAAACTAGGCTCGAACTTGAGATCCTCCTGCCTTAGCCTCCCAGAATGTTGGGTTGCAGGCTATATCTGGCCTAGATTTTTCTTGATCTTCCTAAGCTTAAAAGTGGAAGCAAATAAGTGGAACTTAATTTGTTTCTATTAGTAACATCATAACACTACTGAGCCTATTCTTCCCCCAAAGATTCTCTCTTTAAGATGTGCTGAGAAATGTTTGGCATAGGAAACTAACCCTCTCAGTCCCTGGTTTTTGTAATCATTCTCATTCCAGCTGTCTATCCCATGTGAATTTCAGGACAAAGAGGCTTCTAGTTCCCCACATTCCATCATCCTTAGCCATACTCCTGACACCCCACCAAGCACTCAGCTTTTTACTGGGTTGCATCTGGCTGAGATGGAGAAAATGTTTGAAGAGGGCATTGGCTCCACTAGAAGTAAAGCCACACTGTAGACTCAGTTGTTGTGACTTCTACACAGGACCCAGTATCTGGGGTGTGTGGAGGGCTCAGATCTGACAGAGTTCTCCTCCCCCCCTTTAAAAAGTACTGGGGAGTGAACCTAGGACCCAGAGCTTTTGCACTGAGCTACATATTTAGCCCTTTTCTATTTTATTTTATTTTATTTTTTTATTACCCCCTTTTTTTTGGTACTGGGGATTGAACTCTGGACCTTATGCTTGTGAGGCAGAAGGTAGTACCCTGGCCCTAGCCCTTTACTTTTTTTTTTTT